CAGGTGCGACTAGGTGGCGCTTCTAGGTCGTTTTCCTGTAACTACAGATGTCCTTCCCACTGGGTCAAGCAATCAATCAGTTCTGGGTCCTTGAAAGACTTGCAAAATGCAGATACTAACCACCCGAGACGAGGGCATTGCAGTCATTTGTCTTCAGTGGTGGAGGGTAAAGCAACCAGGAAACTCGTCAATCTTGCCAAGACTGACCTGGTCCACATTCGGCATTGATCAGTTGATGCTTTGCATAGGAACAAAGACGCTACTAGGGGCTCCTGGCCATACTATTAGGATAGGAACAAGGACGCTACTAGGGGTGCCTGGCATCGCTACCTGGAACAAACACGCTACTAGGGGCTCCTGGCATTGTTACTAGGAACAAGGACGTTACTAAAGTGAGTCCGGTCGGGTGCTTGGCTGGGCATGTTGCGCTGCAGCATAGATCAGCGAGAGATGCATCCAGCGTTGGGGCGGATCTCAGAGGTGTGAACACAAGCAGTGCCCCACAACGATCTTTTGCGACAACATGTTTTACATCTTTTTTAAAGCCCGCTCCTTTGCCCTCCCAATACTTAGTTAAGTAAGTTAAGGGAGTAAACACGCTACTAGCAAACTTGGATCCTACTGTAGCGAACGGACACAGGATAGTTCACGCTCGCACTAATGATGTGGTTCCTAGATTTTTAGGGAACATTAGCTCTTTGCAACAGAAGCGAAACATGATGAAACATGTCTTTTCAGCCCGTGAATCATCCGCTTTAGATAGAGTTGGGAACTGGCACTCCGACTGATCGAGCTCTAGACACAGAGTTGAGAACTGCATGGAGGCTTCTGAGATATTAGACGTTTCTTCCTTTTTCTATGGCCTCCAACCTACTAGCTCTAGACAGTCACTGCATCCAGACTTCGGAGATTTGCTCCACGCAAGACCCTGAGATTCCTGCAGAAAAGCTGATGGGGTGTCATTCGGTGCAAGCTCTTTGGGGAGTCTCAGGTGTTTGGTGTTTCTACTAGATCCCTACACCTTTGGCAGCTAGCAAGGATTTGGCAGCACGGCAGAACTGCCGTTTTGACTGCGTGTTGGAAGCAACGTTGAGTGCCTTTCAGCCATACAAAGCTATGCACAGAAGATGAACAAGAAGCAGCTTAAGCAATTGCAGCTAGTTCATCAAAGCATGACGTGCGGGTCAATAGCCTTTGCTGGTCAAATCCTCATAGTCGACATCTCACATCAACAGAGTCGACCACGAAACGCCGGTCTACAGTTCTGCCAGAATCAACCATACCATTAGCCCTAAACTCTTCTTGTTACTAGTAGCGTCCTTGTTACTACTAGTAAGGCACTTGTTACTAGAAGCGATGCACTTGTTTCTACTAGCTTCTTGTTTCTAATTAGCCCTAAACTATCTCGGCAGCTTGCTATGTTACAATCAAAAGCATCTCGAAGAAGGCTCTACCACCCTTCTCCGATTCAGCCAAGAAAGCACTGGGAACCTAAAGGAACCTACCGGACGCTACTAGTAGCTCCTGGCATCGCTACTAGGAGCATACCGGACACTTGTCTTTGACCCTTCGGATTCGTCTCAACACGCTTCGTGCCAATGGTGTTGTCGGCTGGCCCTACCAGGCCATATCGAGGATGGCCTCCCAGTGAACATCCCAGTGGGGTTGTGAACAGGCCTCCAACCGACTAGCGGCCTCCAAACACCTTCCGTTCCTGCGTTGCATCTCTCAGATGTCCTTCCGTTTTCCTGTTCAACTCCGCCTGCCAGGCCATCCTTTCTCCCTGGTGCTCCTAGACAGGCGTGGCGGTGGAAAGAGATTTGTAGCGATGCACTTGTTACTAGTAAGGCCCTTGTTACTAGTAGCGATGCCAGGAGCTCCTAGTAGCGTCCGAAGGCGAACAGAGTTGAAACTGGAGCAAAGTGCCAGGCAAGAAACTGGTGAAAGGTGCAAGGACGGTCCTCCTTCCACCTTTCTCAGGACCTTTTCTCGTTCCATGATGGAAATGCTTTGACAGTTTGGCTTATCACTTGTGAGAAACCCAGCGGCTCTAGACAGTCCTTTCTTGCTGGATAGCTGGATGTATCAGTGTGTGAAGCACACTCAAGTGCCAACCCTTTCGGTGCTGGCTGCCTTGCTTGCGGGTCGTTTGGCTTCCCATGCCAAGGAAGAAAAGATAAGAAGCCGTAAAAGATCTCATCTCACTCCGATAGTGAGAGACATGTTCAAGCTTTACCGCTCATTTCCACGGACCTCATCCCACTGGTGCCGATTGAAGTAAGAACTTTCCAGTCAAGTCTTCAGAACCGGTTAGTAGTAAGGTGCCTTGCTCCTAGTAACAAGTGCCACGCTAGTAGTAACAAAAAGCTATTAGAATTAAAATAAAACTAAATCTAACTTAATAGCTTCTTGTTACTACTAGTAAGGCACTTGTTACTAGTAGCGATGCACTTGCTCCTAGTAGCTTCTTGTTACTAGAAGCAAGAATGCTCTTAGTAGCGATGCCAGGAGCCCCTAGTAGCGTCCTCAGCCAGGTCATCAGCCATCGCCCGAGCCGCAAAACCGCGGCCAGCGGGACGAGCCTCGGGGCTGAGCATTTGCCAAGCGCTCTTGCGGGCGTGTTGTTGGCAAGGCGGGAGCCGTGTGATGATCAGAATGAACAAGAGAGTCACCCACCCAAGAGAGTCGGCCCATTCAAACTACCTTTTTCCAGCACTAAAGCGCCTTCTTGAGCCTTGAGCCTTTCATTTGTTGCTTCTTCTTCAGGTTCTCTTTAGATCTCTTCGGACCTTTAGACTTGTTTGTGTCCTACATTTGGAGCTACGAACGGAGCAAAGGGCATCGCTACGAACGGAGCAAGGACGCTACGTTCGGGGCTCCTGGCCCTACTACTAGGAGCAATGTTCGCTACGAACGGAGCAAAGGGCATCGTATTGTGAGTACTTTTGATGCCTTTTTGGGCCATGAGGTTCCACATGCAGAATTTGTATGCAGGATGACCAGGTCTATACTTTAGTCGGGTGCCGGTGAGTTTCTGGAAGTTGTACTCAATCAATGTCAAAATGAAGAATCACGAACTTGCTTTTGTCCCCCTCACAGTGTTGATGGAGGGAGAACAGGATCCTCCTCCGGTAGCACGGTGGTTTTGGCCAGGTTGTCCTGCCGCTTCGTCCAAGGAGCTCGGGCGCGGGACAGCCAGGGAGAAGTGCTGAGGGACAGCCCCACCGAAACCAGAGAGAAAAAGAACAGGTGCACTCAGTGCATTCAGTCCACCAACCTCAAAAGTCCCAAAAATAACTAGTTTCTCCCTTACTTGATGTTAAGTTTCCCTAAAATTCTAGGAACCAAATCAGTAGTGCAAAAGCTTCTTCAAGGAAGCGTGAGCTATCCTGCGTCCTGTCGGTAGTAGCTTACTTGCAGGTAGTAGCTACCTCTCCCTACTAGCTACGTAGCTACTAGCGGCCTACCCCCCCTTTAAAAAGACAGAAAAAACACCTTTGATACTAGTAGCTTCTTGCTCCTAGTAGAAAGGCCAGGAGCCCTTAGTAGCGTTCTTGCTCCTAGTAGCGATGCCAGGAGCCCCTAGTAGCGAACATTGCTGCATTTTGGATAGTCGAAAATGCCAGGCCGCCCGGGTGCATCCGCCTCCAACGCCTCGCGCTCGAAGATGTCCGCACCGCAGTCGTGATCCGTTCGTCGTGGTTCGTGCAGCATGGTGTATCTCGTTCACGTTTCTTCAGTGTTTGTCACGAAGCCTTCAAGAGAACTAGGATCAAGGGCATCTCTACTAGGAACAAGGGCATTACTACCAGAAACAAGGACGCTACTAGTAGCTCCTGGCAGAACCACATCCCAAAAGGGCCCAAAACGGCCTTGCAGCCTTCACCAGGTGCCGCCTAGCTGCAGGGTCCACTGACTGGCAACACGTGCGGGAGGACTTCCCCGCGTTGCAGCAGGAGGCAAAGCTGAGGAACCAGGAATTGTTACTCGTAGCGATGGCCTCCGAGCTAATAGCAATGGCCTCCACCCTAAAGGCTTCTTGTTACTATTAGTAAGGCCAGGAGCTACTAGTAGCATCAGTGCTCCTAGTAGCGATGCCCTTTGAACGTGTTTGAACAGTGCTCCTCCAGATTTTTGCCAAAAAAGAACCACCTTCTTTTTGCCAAAGATTGAGCAATTCTGTTTGTGTTAAGACTTGTAAGCCTGCGAGCTGTGTACGCTCCCGAACGACTGTCAAGCATCAACTCCTGGAAGGTAAAGCCTGGTATTCCCTTGGTCTACTTGGACAATGCGGCCACATCTCAGAAGCCGCGTGCTGTGCTGGAGGAATTGAGCCGCTTCTATGGCCAAGACAACAGCAACATGGCAGATCACTTGGGAGACGGACAAGTTGTGGCAGCTTGGGCGATCACATACTTGTTTTGGTAGGTGACTAGCGGTCAGAAGGTGTTATTCTTCTATGGAGGCGATGTAGCATCACACTCTGATTCATGGGGGTACTTTGTGGGCCCTCGTTGCATGCTGGCCTGCCATGGGGTGATGCCACAAGTATGCATTTCAGAGGCTCATTTCCTCTGACTCTTGAAGGCAAAGATGAGATTCTATTTAGCCGATGCAGATATGCATGGAAACACTGCAGCTGGGAGTGGCACCAAGAACTTGTACCACACCTGAACTCCAAAACAATCAATTGTGCCTTCAGCTCCTTCCTGATCCATTGCATGGCTGCATGGCCCAAAACGACCAAACACGAACATCGATCCCTCTTGTCGATCCCTTTGATGAAAAGAAGCGATGTCCTTGTTACTAGTAGCTTCTTGTTCCTAGTAGCGATGCCCGGAGCCCCTAGTAGCGTCCGATCGCTCCGTTCGTAGCCATGGCCTCCCGTCCTTTCGAAGATTCTCCGTTCTTCTTCCCTTCCGAAACCCCTGTGCGCCGGGCGAAACCCGGCGTCCCAGGCAATGTCCACCGGGGGATGCACACCCTGTCGATGCGCTCCACTGAAGCCTTTGAGAACGCCCGGAAGACAGTCGCGCACTTCGTCAACGCACCCGATGAGCATGAGCCTCCGCGCATCAAAAGGAGATGGATCGTCACAGGGATCTCATGTGAAGACCTCTGCCAGTAAGCCTGAAACGTTCTCTTGATACGGATTCAGCATTCAGGGTTTATGGTGGGAATGTGTTTCGGCAGCTGAACCAACCAACCACACTTGAATGAAGACTCTCGAACATGTGTTCATAAATATGTGTCTTAGACTTGAAGGGCGCCTCTACCTTGAATTTGCCTTCTTTTCACCAATCTGCAGGTCACGCTCCAATCGAGCTATCAATCTAAGAGTTGTTTCTGTTACATCCAAGTAGTCGTTTTTGGTGGCCTACTCTCCGCCAGAAAGGCGGCCGAAACATCAGCGAAACACCCCGATAGCACCAAGGAGATCATCTTCACACGGAACGCCACAGAGGCAGTGGCACGAGACGAACTCGCTCGGAGAGAATGGACCGCCCTTCACGAACGGGCGGAACGTTTTAAAAAGGTTTGATTGGATTTGGCTTGAGTTACGGCTCTACTCTTGACAAGGATAGGGGTGCCAAAGAAGGACCCCTAGTCCATTGTTCAATTTGTGGGCCTTCTTTCAAAATCAGTTGATTCTCTGTTGTTTCCTTTTGCTGTTTCCTATTGCTATTAGGTTGGAGGCCATTGCTACTAGGTTGGAGGCCATCGCTATCAGGTTGGAGGCCATCGCTTCTAGGTTGGAGGCTATTCCTATTAGGTTGGAGGCCATTGCTATTAGGTTGGAGGCAGAGGTATTCGTAAAAAGGAAAGGTGTAGTTCTTTCAGATCTTGGTCAAAAGGAAAGGAAAGGGAGGCTAAGATGTAGTCTCTACTTAAATAAATAGGGAGAGAGAGGGGGAGAGCGAGTAGGCTTGTTTAAAAAAGGAAACAGTGGGTTTCTGTCTTTTCTTTCGGACCTTTCCGACCTTTCTCTTTCGCAGGCCATCAACCTGGTGGCGAAGACCTGGGCCGAAGCCAACATCGGGTGCGCGCAGTCAGACGACGATGTGTGGGGCAGGGGCAGGAGAGGTGTTTTTTGGTATGTTTCTGTCCAAAACGATGTGAAGCACTCACTTTTCTAAGATCTAGTAACAAGAAGCTACTAGGAACAAGAGCATCGCTGCTAGTAACAAGTGCCTTGCTAGTAGTAACAAGAAGCTACTAGGGGCTTTTGGCCTTACTAGGAGCAAAGAAGCAAGTATTGTATGTTGCCCTAGCGATCCACTGGGCCGCGCACGGCGGCATCCGGGGCCTTCGCCGAATAGGTGTGTTTCACGTGATGGGAGCCGCGACCCGAAAAGCGGGTATCGTTTGGTGTCCCAAAATAGGTCTGACCTGTAACAGTCAGTAAACAAATGTGAACAAGAACATCACGATTTTGGAACGAAGGCCTTTATCAACCCTCATCATACACTGTTACTGGTAGGATATACTCGGTGCATCTCCATGTATGGTGGCATGATGTACGTTATTTGCACTGCAAGGGCCCGGAAGAGTAGGTTGGAGGCCATCGCTTCTTGTTCCTAGTAGCGATGCCCTGCGCTACTAGTAGCGTCCTCTTGTTCCTAGTAGTAAGTCCAGGAGCCCCTAGTAGCGTCCGATCGTTCCTAGTAGCGAACATGAAGAGTAGGTACCACGGGGTGAGATGCCCTGCCCACTTGTTCGGTCGAGGTCGGGAGACGAGATCGTGTTGACGGTCATGGACCGCGGGGGGGTCAGGGCCAGCGAGGCTGTCGGGATGTCCTGTCTAGCTTTGACCAGTCCAAGGCATCCAATGCCATAGGGCCTTGGGGTTCAAACTTGTTCAAACTCAAAATGCAACGGAATTGTTGGAGGGGAGAAGGGAACACAGTATAGACCCAAATGATATGTTTTAAAAGTTGTAAGTGGCTGGAGCAAGAGAGAGCAGAGTTGCCAGGAGAAACTAAAAAATGGTTCAACCATTGATATGATAGGGCAGTTTCTTGACTCAGCAACAAGATGCTTTAAGACAAAGTTGGGTGCCGGGGAATTCCATTGTGGGTGGACAGAAGCAGGCGGGCGGTATATTGCGATCTATAGTTTTGATCAGTCTTGAGTTCTTCTCTTTCTGCCCTGGCTGTTTCATGGATGGATGTTGGTTCACAAGATGATCCACTCCACTGCTTGGCGCACTTTTCGCGCTCGGCTGAAAAGCAGGAGCATCATTCCAACCTGGTGCCATGGCAACTTCTCGCTGAGAAGACCGGCGCGAAATTGAAGTTTGGCCGTTTGAGAAGCAACGGGACCTTGGCGCCTCGAAGCAAGAAGCTACTAGTAGCTCCTGGCATCGCTACTAGGAGCGATCGGACGCTACTAGGAACAAAGGGCATTGCTAGTCCCTTTCTTCCTCTACACCTTAAAGCCTTGCTTTCATGTTTGTCATCGTTTGACCACTCTTTCTTGTCATTGAAGCCCACAGAGGATGTGGAACACTTCGAGAGCCTTATCACGGAGAAGAGTCTCGGGCTGGAAACGCTGTGAGTCAAGTAAGCAAAGAGCAATTGCTGCACAATCTCCAGCCAAAGAAAGAAGCGCTCATTTGTTTTTGTTCATTTCTCGTTTGGCGAGAATCAAAGAAAGATTGACCCGGAGCGGCCTTGATGCTCTTAGGACCAAATTGGTGTCGTTGTGCCACGTCTCCAACGTCTTGGGCTGCGTGAACCCCATCAAGCGAGTGGCCGAAAAAATGCCATGAACACCAGGCCAAGTTGTTGGTTGATGCTTGCCAGAGCGTGCCGTGGCTAGTGATTGGGTGCACTGGAACAACAGGTCCTTTGAAAAGTATGGGCACTGTATGGACACTGTCCTGGCCTTACTACTAGGAGCAAGGACGCTACTAAGGGCTCCTGGCATCGCTACTAGGAGCATTCTTACTACTAGTAACAAGAAGCTACTAGGGGCTCCTGGCCTTACTACTAGTAACAAGTGCCTTACTAGTAGTAACAAGAAGCTACTAGGAGCAAGGCACCTCACTACTAACCGGTTCATCTTGGTGACGCACTTGTCGCGACTGGGTGGCCACCAAGGTGCCACACATGCCCGTGGATGTGCAAACGTTGGGCGCCGACTGGTTGGTGGCAAGCAGCGCCTTTGCAACGAATGGCGCCTGTCTGGGCATTGCACATCTGGTATCTTGTTACTAGTAGCGATGCCCTTTGCTCCTAGTAACTTCTTGTTCCTAGTAGTAAGGCCAGGAGCTACTACTAGCGTTCTTGCTCATGGTAGCGATGCCTTTGTTATTGCAGGACCACGGTTGAAGGAATTTTGAAGATTTCTTGGAACAAACTCGTTGCACAGAAAGCCCAGAGTGGATGCCATGGGTTCGAACTCGTTGGTTCCCACACGCGAAAATGTCATTCAAGTTGAGTCAGGCGTTAGTTGTTACGAAAAAGAAAGCTTCATAGATGTTACTAGGAGCAAGAACGCTACTAGTAGCTCCTGGCCTTACTACTAGGAACAAGAAGCTACTAGGAGCAAAGGGCATCGCTACTAGGAGCAAGAACGCTACTAGTAGAAAGCTTCATAGATGTTACTTCATCCCGATCAGATCCGGACCACAAGAAGCCCTTTGGCACAGAAACGGACCTCACCTAGGCCACAAGATGTGCGGCCCCACAGGCATCGGCTTCTTGTGGGGCAACTCGGAGGCAGCCCGAGGATGACAGTCACACCGCAGAACAAGATGAATGGTTCGACCCGACCGAACTCCGCCCCGTTTTTTCACCGATGCCTTGCTGCTAGTAGCAATGGCATTACTACTAGCAGCTAGAAGCTGGTAACAAGGGCATCGCTACTAGCAAGAAACGGGCCAAACCTGGAAAACGCACCGCTTCCCACACGGCCGCGATCGGCCCAGGCAGGGCGGAGCTTCTGCGCGCGTCGCCGCCCTTCCTCGGAGGCGGCGAGATGATCGATCAGGTGAAGCTGGAAGGCGCGGAGCGCACCCAAGGGCTGGAAGCTACTAGTAGCTCCTGGCATTACTTCTAGTAACAAGAAGCTACTAGGAACAAGTGCCTTACTACTAGTAACAAGTGCCTTATTAGTAGTAACAAGTGCCTTACTAGTAGTAACAAGAAGCTACTAGGGGCAAGAAGGAACGAACTTCTCCCTTCCTGAATGTAAGGAGGTGCCTACCAGCAATGGCCTCCACAAAAGATTCCAATGTGTACCCACGCTGCTGTTTGGGTAGAAGAATATAAGCAAGCCTGGGATCGCTTAGGCTTCATCATTGCTCGAGCATGCCACGACATTCCTTAACAAAAAAGCTGTATAGTATGTCTTTGAAGCTTTCTAGTATAAGTAGAAGTTACTAGGTGGAGGCCATCACTATTAGGTCGGAGGCCATCGCTGCTAGTAACAACAAGCTACTAGTAGCTAGGAACTTTTAGGTGGAGGCCATCGCTACTAGGAACAATAAAGCCTGGTATTGCCTCCCTTTTTGAGTTGTCGGTCGTCCGTGTGTGCGCAGCATGGAGGTAGCACCTTCAGTGACATCCCTCATCGCTTCGAGGTGGGCAAAAGTTGGGAGGTCAGGGTTCACAAAGATTGTCCCCATGGATACACAAGAATAAGGGAATGAATCTCAAAAGACACCATGTTTGCCCAAAGGCTAAGTGTCCCTATATGCACACTATATGCATTTCAGATTCTTTAAGGTTCGCTACTAGGAGCAAGAACGCTACTAGGGGCTCCTGGCATCGCTTCTAGTAACAAGTGCCTTGCTAGTAGTAACAAGAAGCTATTAATTTAGATTTAGTTTTATCTTAATTCTAATAGCTTTTTGTTACTACTAGTAAGGCACCTGTTACTACTAGCGTGGCACTTGTTACTATTAGGAGCAAAGGGCATCGCTACTAGGCCTTCACCCTTTCGTCCCTACGGTCCAGGCGGGGACCCCAGCCTTTGCAGAAGCAGTGGCCTTGGGCCGCGCCTGTGAATACTTGGAAAAGCTGACCATGACGGCCATCACCGAGCGTCGCTTGGCGAAGTTCCGCTGGCGGACTCACATGTAAATCACGAAGCCCCGGGTTTGATCTCAGCATTGATACTAGTAACAAGAAGCTACGAGGGGCTCCTGGCATCGCTACTAGGAGCAAGGACGCTACTAGGGGCTCCTGGCCTTACTACTAGTAACAAGAAGATACTAACTAGTGTTGATACCTTTTTTGTTCAGGAAGAAGAGAATGCCATTTGACGTTTAGAGAAGAAAACCATGTAGGTTGGAGGCCATAGCTAGTAGGGTGGAGGCCATCGCTTCTAGGTTGACGTCCAGAGAAGAAAACCATGTTGCAGTTGATGTTTCCAACCTGGCATCTCTTCAAGCCTTCATCGCTTCAGGTGAGCACCGTTTGTCGAAGAAGCTTTGGGATCGCGTGGCTGCTTTGCCCGGAGTGACCATCTATGGCCCATCCCCAGAGGAGGACCCAGTGACCTGCCAAAAAGAGGATGGGAGAGGAGCACTTAGGCAGATAGATTTGAGAAAACGAAGGACAGGTGCCCCTACCTAGTAGCGTCCTTGCTCCTGGTAGCGATGCCCTTGGCTACTAATATCGATGCAGTTGTTACTAGTAGCAATGTCCTTTTCCCTAGTAGCGATGCACTTGTTAGTAGTAGCTATTATTAACTGTTTCTTCCCTCGGTCCCTTCAGTTCTTGGCTGCTGGTCCTTGCCGGTTCTTGGGACATGGATCGGCCCAAGTCTTTTGATTCAGCAATAACCAGTCATACCTTTGCAGGCACTAAGACACGAAGAAACGAAAAACATCGGCACAGTAGGCACCCTTTGTAGAAAGAATTTGGGCCAAGCAACATGAATCGAATCAAAGCTTCTCCTGGGTTTAAGGAGAGGGCTTCCCTGGTGTGTTTCAACGTGGAAGGCGTCTTGGCAGCTTTGCGGCCTGGAGTACGGGAGTACGGAGTGCACAGAGCGCACCGATCAACCTGGAGTCTTTGACCATGGAGTTACTCTTAGGACTCGTTATTCCTTGGTTCACTTGTTGCTTCGGACGCAAAGCGGTTGCTTCGGACTCTGAGTTCTCATGTTCAAGATTCTAGACCCCATGGCTGGAATCTGGCTGCGACAAGTTCCATCACAGTCTAAAGCGGTTGCCATTCGCAAGGTTGCCACGCGAACGACCTGGCTACCATCGTAGACCAGGACAGAACAATGCTTCAAGATGGTGGTGTTGCTTCTTTGGAGGTTCACGGAACAATAGGTACATCAAAGCAGTGAAGAGGTGGCAACCCTTATCGTTTGAAAATGCGACACGAGTCTTGATGTTTACGTTTGGAAATCTCTTAGAGGGAATCCATTTGACACCTCACGGTAACCAAAAAGTGAAACAATGTTCAGAGGTGACAATGATGTTCAACGGGTTCAGTCCCTTTTCGTGCATGTGTTCTTTCAAAAAACATCTGTGATAGAATGACATTGGGTGAATTCAATGTCTATTTCTGTTTGCGAGTTTTGCACTAGTGAAACGATTCCCAGGGAAGCTTCTAGTTTCTAGAAAGCTTCAATGACATACTAAAAAGCTTCTTGTTACTAAGCAGCTTCAAAGACATACTAAAAAGCTGGATTGTTACTACAGGTGAAATGATTCCCAGTGAAACGATTCCCAATAGAATGATTTTGGGTGAATTCGATTTCTAGTCCTGTTTGCGAGTTTTGCACTAGTGTTCTATCCTTTTCTGGCCTCAAATGCATCAAAGCAAGTCTTCGCGTGAGGACCGGGGCATTGCCATGCGCTCGGGCCACCATTGCACGCAGCCCTTGCACACCGAGCTGGGCAGCTTTGCAAAGCTCTTGCATATCTTTGCGTGCAAAGGGAGAGAAAGGTATTCGACAACAATGAATCCGCACAGAGTAGGGGCCCTTCTTGTTTGTGGTTAGTGTTTGGAGATGTGGGAAGCTTTTTCACGCAACCGCGGAAATGAAGAGTATTTCTCCAGCTGAATTTCTGTTGGCGGGTGCCGTCTCTAGACGTGATTTTGCAGGGCCTGCCCAAAAAAGAAATTGTAAAAGGGGTATGCAAGGATGCTGGGACATCCCATCGTTCATTGTTGCCTGTTGAGTTTTATGCTGTTCAGTCCTTGTTCTTTGCAAGTGCTTATTTATCAGCGGGGGGGTTGAGGATTTTCGTTAAAACTGTCACTGGAAAAATGCTATTCTATAAGGTTGGTCATTGCTTGGGTTTAATTGTTTCTCGGGGATAGATTGTCTCAGTGTTTTGTTCCTTGTTTACTCTTCCTTTGGCTTCGCCTTCGACTTCTTGCTTCAAAGGTCGGACTGCCCGTTCGACATGTGTCGCCTTGAGAGTCAGCATTGCAACAAAAACAAAGTCAAGCAAAAAGCAAAAGATGTGGAATGTGGAACCAGCTTTACAACGGCCTGCCAAAAATATGTCTGCTCAAGTTCTTCCTCCGTAAGCACCAGCCAGTTCAGCCTGTGCCATGAGGGGGAGTCGGGCCCTACTCCGTCGACGTTCATGCCGCAATAGACCTGGCTTGGGTGGGCAAACATCAGCACGCAGGGCTTTGCTGGAGTTTCTGCGTAAAATCGCATGCTTGTCTGATAATTCCATCTGCTCTTATGCATGGGTAATATCTCAGGGGATATTAGGTTGTAAGAAAAATTTTACCTTGAACATCAACAATACTCACATTCACTTCAACCACAACATCCTCAACCAAAACCCGTCCCAAAAACATCAATAAATCAAAATGAAATAGGACATATTATACTACAATGGAACGCTCACATCAGATTGGTTTAGATTGCCTTTTGTTCCGAAAAGGGTGAGATACTCAAAAGAAATGGTCAAGAGCTCAAGAAACTGAAGATGCGAAAAGGGCCCACACTGTCACTCAGGTATTGTGGCCAGTGCTCGGTTGTCTGCCTACTTTTACAACACCAAGGAGTGGTTCTTGGCACCAGAGCAGTGGGAACATGTGAGAAACATCGGGGTGACATCGGTGATATTTAAAAAGGTTACCAATTACAGGAGCCCCCAGTAGCTTCTTGCTACTAGTAGTAGTAAGGCCAGGAGGCCCTAGTAGCGTCCTTGCTCCTAGTAGCGATGCCCTTTGTTACTAGACGCGTAGGCCAACTTGCCTATGATGTTGTTTTTTCCCTGGAGGAGGAGATTGACCTAGCAGTTGATGCGGTGGAGGCAGCGATCGAGCTGATCCGATCCGGAGAAGGCACCGGGAGAGGAAGAGGATATCTCAGGAGACAGGGTTTGTTCAAGTCTGCTAGTAGGGAGGCCATCGCCATTAGGTTGCACCATGCCACCCTCGTCGCATGCTGTTGAGTGAGATATCTCACCCCAAGGTGGATTGGGTGGGTTCAGTTTCAGTGAGGGAAAATGGACTTAACCAGTCGGTTTTGTTTGCTTAGAACCACAATCTCAAGCTACTCGCAAGTAGCAGTGCTCATGGTGGTGACCGCTCATGGTGATCTTCCGGTTTGAACATCGGAAACCCGAAGAGGATCTTGGTAAACAGGAGTTTATCTTTTGGGCAGCTTCTTGTTACTACTAGTAAGGCACTTGTTACTAGAAGCGATGCACTTGTTCGTAGTAGCTTATTGTTTCCTCTTGGTAAACAGGAGTTTATATATCTTTTGGGCTAGTTAGCGGCTAGTTGGTGCTCCAACTCTGTGCAGTTGCTCTTTGCTCATCGCACAAGGGCACTGAAAAAATGACTTTGCCCGGTCAAGTTCCTTCATCCTGTATCTTTCTTGGGGAGATCATCGCTAGTAGGTTGGATGCCATCGCTTGCTCGTTTGGCCTCCGTTGAGGTGAAGGGGAGGTGTTGGACCCGGCCATGGCAGCGCTGCTGGATGTTTGAGAAGCGTTTTGAGGCGGAGGTGTCCAACATCGGTAGCCACGTGAAACCCAGAAGGAGATGTTGGACTCCTCCAAGTAGCACAGAGAGCTGTGGGTCGGCAACGAAGCTCTAAAGGAAATATAAACGACCTCTTCCTAGTCAGTCATTCTAAGAGGATTCGATGCATGTTCATGGCCGTTTGCATGGCTTTTGACCCCCAACTCATCCAGTGAATGGTTTCACCATATTTTCCTCTGCCAGATCGTGGCGCCACCCCGCCACTTTCGGCAGCAAACCCAGCTCCAGACCCATCTGCAGATTGGAAGACAATGCAAGTGCCCGTGTTCGATCTGAGTACGGTGTCCACTGTCGATGGACAAGTTCTGAAGGAACCCAAGGAACTCACTCGCTGGATTCACCAGATTCTCTTCAGGCCGGTTCAGGCCAAAGGGGGCTTGTCATGCTGCCCTTCAGTGGTGCAGGATGGTGCAGGTGATTGTCCAACAGTTCAGTACCGCAAGACCTAAGAACTTGGCAACCATGATCCATTACTACTGCCACTCTCACTCATGAACAGAAGCCCTTTTGGAGTAGTCTTGGATTTGATTTCTTATACTTGGCTTACTTGTCCTCAAAAGGTCCTTGGTGCTAGTAGGTTGGAGGCCATCATTGCTATGTTGAAGGCCATTGCTATTCTTCTTAGCTTTAGAAAGTAATCCATGTCAAACATCTTGCCTCATGTTGTGCCGCTCCGCAGCTTCACAGTCATTTTGCCCGCAGCTTCACAGATTCACCGTCAAGATGGGCAAGGCGCTTGGCAAGATTGGAGAAGCCATGGTCCTTGCTCCTAGTAGCGATGCACTTTGCTCCTAGTAGCGAACATTGCTCCTAGTAGTAAGGCCAGGAGCCCCTAGTAGCTTTTTGTTACTAGTAGCGATGCCAGGAGCCCATAGTAGCGTCCTTGCTCCTAGGTGTTCTTGCGGCAACTTTCATCCAAGAGACATGATACACCAGAATCTCTTTGAGTTATTCCACCGAGAGGAATGGTTTGGGTTGGATGTTCGTGTCAACTCGAATACGACTTGTCACTCACAGGTGTGCACGAGAAATGACCTAGATGATGTGACACGATAGACGAAGGTTCTTGTGAACCGAAGAGAATACTGAAACACAATGAGTTCGGTCATCCTTGACAGCGGATTGGGTCATTGGAAACAGAATCCATGACCCATTGGCAGCCTGCTCAGAGCTGCTTCCAGCATGCTTCAACCTGCCTTCCAGTAGGCACCTGATTCATTCGGCGCAAGTCTAGACAAAAACCTGGGTGGAAGAGGCTGAAGCAGGAGGTTTTGTTCACAAACAATCGAACTCGGCGAAAGCCGAACTCGGAAGAAAGACCCCGCACTCAACCGCACCTCTGTTTTTCTTCTAGGAGGCCATCTAAATGAGGGATCTGAAGGGATCTAAATGAAGGGTCCAGTTTTGTCAAATCGACCGCACCGGAGGCGTTGCCTCTGCGCAGGTGCACGGCAGTTTGGCACGAGCCGGAAAGGTGAAGAATCAGACGCCAAAAGTGGCCAAGGCGGAGAAGAAGAAGGCTGGAAGTGCTTGGCCGAAGTCAGCAAGGCGGAAGTGGCGACGAGTCGATGGAGAGTGACGGTTAATAGAGGTGCTTGGCCTGGAAGTCCTTGCAAATCCGAGCTAGAACCCTGGGCCACTTGGACTTGCTTGGGAACTTCTACACGATGATTGTTTGGCAAGGGTATTTGCACAGCCCCTGAATGTTGTTTGTGATCACCTCTAATCAGAAAGTCATCACCTGCTCGGGGCGTCCGGTCCTCAAGATCCTTCCAAGATGGACCTCACTCTCTCCCAAGAGCGGGGTAAAGCCCTTGATCTCACCAAGAAGGATACCGTGGAATTTGTCGGATATGCTGCTTCGTGCCTTCTAAAAAGCACCCCAAGCACCCGGTTTTCCTTGGCCGCTGACGGCTCTGACGTGACCTCTCCATCCTCGGTCCTGCCTTTCAGAAGCTCACGGGCCGGGCCAAGAAGCGCTTCGTCTACAACCGTCGCTTCGTGAGCGTCGCTCGGAATGCAGGATCCGAAGGATTGGAGTTCCGCAATCTAAATGAAGGATCCATCGCTAGTAAGAGGTTGGAGGTCCATCTCCAGTAGGTTGGTGGCCATCGCTAGGAGGTTGGAGGCCATCGCTAGTAGGTTGGTGGGTTGGAGGCCATCGCTAGTAGGTTGGAGGCCATCGGTAGTAGGTTGGTGGCCATCGCTGGCTGGTGGCCATCGCTAGTAGGTTGGTAGCCATCGCTAGGAGGTTGGAGGCCATCGCTAGTAGGTTGGTGGCCATCGGTAGTAGGTTGGAGGCCATCGCTAGTAGGTTGGAGGCCATCGCTAGTA